GAAATCTCTAAGACTTATATTAATAGCCTAAGATCCTTAAAGCGACGTATAAAACTAATAATTAGATAATTATATAGTTAATTACTTTACTAATCCTTAGCTATATACTATATATACTTTAGGTATATACCCTCGTCCCTATTAAACTAAGTAGACTACTTCCTTACTAAGAGGAAGATCTAGCTAGCTTTTAAAGGGTAGGTCTAGCCCCTTATAAGCCTAGTAATAAGGGTACCTTAAGGGTCCCTTATTAGCCCTATTTTATTCCTTTTATATATAAGAGGGATACTAGCGACTAAGGGGTACTAAATATCTTATATAGATAACTTTAGTATCTTTATAACGTTAACCTTAGCTAAGAAGAACGTTTAGTAGCTAGAAGCTATAGCTACTAACTTATTCGAATAAGCTAAGGAGTAAGGGGCCTATTTTAACCCCTTTAAGACGGAACTTATCTACTTTAATAGGTAAAGGCAGCTTATTTTAAAGGGTATAATAGTAAGAGGCCTCCCTTAGTATAGTAGCTAGGAGTCTTCTTTAACTCTAGGCTACTATTTAAATAATATATTAAGAAGAAGGTAGCTTTTATATAAGCTACCTTTAAAAGACTATTCCGCTTAGTCTTTATATAAAGAGGCCTATTATTTAAAGCTTCTAAGTAGCTTTATTAAGCCTATATAACCTCTATAGTAGACTATAGGGCCTAGCTTTAATATAAGGGGCCTAAGGCCCCTAGGAGCCTTATAAAGCCCTTTTAAAGGCTTTAAAACTAAGCTCTTTTAAAGGTCTTAGGGGCCTTTAAATAATCTCTTATTAGGGCCCTAGAAGCTAAAGCGGCCCTACTACTACTAAAGGTACGATTTAAAAGGGCGTGCCTCTCTTATACCTTTTAGACCTTATACTTCTTACTTAGTTACCCTATAAAGCAAGCGTATAACCTAGCTATATAGGATAACCTTACTAACTTAGGCTTTAATCTAAGGGCCTTAAGCTATATTAAGCCCTATATATAGCTCTTTTACTTTCTTAAAGGCCTAGTAGCTATTATAGGACTAAATTATTACTTAGAAAGAAGGAAAGCTAGCTAGGAGCCCTTATAGGCCTTAGAGCCTAAGGCCTTTATAATAATAATAAAGGCCCTTAAGCCCTTAGCTAAGAAGTATTACTAATGCCTCTTAGCTAGCCTAGCTAGCTTAGAAGACTTTAGACTATAGCCCTTAGCCTTTTATACTAACGGCTCTAAGGGGTACCTTAAGGGGCCCCTTATAAAGACTAACGCTTACTCCTTTTATAAAATAGGCCTAGAAAATAAGTCTATTAAAGTATACTACGAGAACCTAGGACCCTCGATCGAAGTAGCTAATATAGAGCTATTCGCGATACTAAGGGTCTTAAAGGACCTAGCTAAAAGGCCTTAACCCTTAAGGCCTAGCCCCCTTAACCCCCTTATTAAGGCTAATATCTCTATAGATAGCTAAGCCGCTATAAGGAAGGTAATAAGCTTCTTAGACCTAGCTATATATTAAAAGGCTCTTAATAAGCCTAGAAGACTTTTATAATATATAGCTATACTAATGCCCTAGCTACCTAAGGATCTTTAGTAACGAGCTAGCTAACTAGCTAGCTAAGAAAGGCTTAGAGGCCCTTACTTAAAGGACCCCTTTAGTCTTTATTAGCTACTTATAAAGAAAGGTCTAGTAAGCTACTAAAGACTATTAAAAGGGCCTCTAGGCTACTAAGGTAGCTAAAGGCCTTAGGGCTAAAGGCCTAAGTAAGTACTATATATCTATTTAAAAGACCCCCCGCTTAGCCCTTAGCCTAGAGAAGGACCTTTTAAGGAGGCCTAGGCCGACCCTCTTAGCTTTTTACTAGCTCCTTTTTAAGGCCGGCTTCTTATTTTCCTTCTTAAAAAGGACTAAGAAAATAGAATAAGACGACTACCGCTATAGCTAAGGAAGGTATATAGCTAGGCACCTTATCTTAAGATGCCCGAACTATAGGAGGGAAAGAGAGGTCCTTTACCGGGCTTCTAAGAGATAAAAGGGGGCCCTTAGCCTACCTCTTCTCTATAGCTTTAAGGAAAGAAGGGAAGCCCTTTTAACCTTCTTAGCTAAAATAGAGATAGGGATAGCTAAGTAGCTCGAAAAGGAGTAACCTAGGGGCCCTAGGGCCCTTAAGGGGGAAAAACACTATATAGGAAGAACTAAACTAACCTTTCTATTATCTTTGCTTTTATAGCTACCCTTTCCCTAACTAGTTATAAGCCCCTAGGCTCTATAGCTAGCTAGGACTACTAATAAGGGCCTTAGCCCTTATTAGCCTTACTATAGCCTTAAAAGCTATATATAAGTAATAATAATAAAAAGCCCTTAATTAAGGAAGGGCTATTTCTAAAAGTAGAAGTAGCGTATTAAAGATTATTAATTTTATATTAAAAATAAACTATTATATTCTTATTTATTATATTTTTAGCTATAGCTTCTTTAAAGTTTAAGAGCTATACTTATTTAATCTTATTAAGTAGTTTATTAATAAATTAAGATATAATAATTTAGTTATATTATAGTAAATTAAAGTTAATTAATTATATAAATAAAAGTATATAAGTATACTAATAAGTAATAGTTAATATATTATTATTTTAAAGCGTTTAAAAAAGAGCAATAAAGAATACTTATAATATAATAGTAATAATAGAGAGATAAAAGGGTCTACTTCGATCCCTTAAAGATAGAACTTATCTACTTTAGTAGGTAAAGGCAGCTTATTTTAGAGGGAGTAATAGTAGGAGGCTTATTTTTCGAGGTAAAGCCCTTAGTATAGTAGCTAGGGGTCTTCTTTAATTCTAGGCTCCTATTTAAATAATATATTAAGAAGAAGGTAGCCTTTATATAAGCTGCCTTTAATAGACTATCCTGCTTAACCTCTATATAAAAAGGCTTATTATTTAGAGCCTTTAAATAGCTCTACTAGGCCTATATAACCTCTATAGTAAACTATAGGGCCTAGCTTTAGTATAAGGGGCCTAAGACCCTTAAGAGCCTTATAAAGCCTTTTTAAAGGCTTTAAAACTAAGCTCTTTAAAAGGTCTTAAGGGCCTTTAAAGGATCCCCTATTTAGCCCTACCGCTATTAAAAGTATAATTCGAAAGGGCATGCCTCTCTTACGCCCTCTAGACCCTATACTTCTTACCTAGTTACCTTATAAGGTAGGCTTACGACCTAGCTATATAGGATAACCTCGCTAACTTAGGCTCCGACCTAAGGGCCTTAAGCTATATTAGGCTATATATATAGCTCTTCCGCTTCCTTAAAGGCCTAGTAGCTCTTATAGGACCTAATTATAACTTAGAAAGAAGGAAAGCTAGCTAGGAGCCCTTATAGGCCCTAGAGCCTAAGGCCTTTATTATAATAATAAAGGCCCTTAAGCTCTTAGCTAAGAAGTAGTACTAACGCCTCTTAGCTAGCCTAGCTAGCTTAGAAGACTTTAGGTTACGGCCCCTAGCCTTTTATACTAACGGCTTTAAAGGGTACCTTAAGGGGTCCCTTATAGAGACTAACGCTTACTCCTTCTACGAAATAGGCCTAGAAAATAGGCCTATTAAGGCGTACTATAAGAACCTAGGGCCCTCGATTAAAGTAGCTAATATAGAGCTATTCGCGATACTAAGGGTCCTAAAGGACCTAGCTAAGAGGCCTCGGCCCTTAAGGCTTAGCCCTCTTAACCCCCTTATAGATACCTATATATTTATAGATAGCTAAGCCGCTATAAGGAAGGTTATAGGTTTCTTAGACCTAGCTATATATATTAAAAGGCTCCTATCTAGCTTAGAAGCCTTTTATAATATATAGCTATACTAGTGCCCTAGCTACCTAGGGATCTTTAGTAATAAGCTAGCCGACTAGCTAGCTAAAAAAGGCTTAAGGGCCCTTACCTAAGGGACCCCCTTAGTCTTTATTAGCTACTTATAAAGAAAGGTCTAGTAAGCTACTAAGGACTATTAAAAGGGACTCTAGGCTACCGAGGCGGCTAAAGGCCCTAGGGCTAAGGGCCTAGGTAAGCACTATACGTCTATTTAAAAGACCCCCCGCCTAGCCCTTAGCCTAGAAAAGGACCTTATAAGGAGGCCTAGGCCGACCCTCTTAGCCTTTTACTAGCTCCTCTTTAAGGCCGGCTTCCTATTTTCCTTCTTAAAAAGAACTAAAAAGGTAGACCGAGATAACTACCGCTACGGCTAAGGAAGGCATATAGCTAGGCACCTTATCCTAAGGTGCCCGAACTATAGGAGGGAAAGAGAGGTCCTTTACCTGGCCTCTAAGAGATAGAAGGGGGCCCTTAGCCTACCTCTTCTCTATAGCTCTAAGGAAGGAAGGGAAGCCCTTCTAACCTTCTTAGCTAAAATAGAGATAGGGATAGCTAAGTAGCTCGAAAAGGGGTAACCTAGGGGCCCTAGGGCCCTTAGGGGGAAAATCACCGCGCGGGAGGAACTAGACTAACCTTTCCTTTATTATTACCTTTATAGCTACCCTTTCCCTAATTAGTTATAAGCCCCTAGGCTCTATAGCTAGCTAGGACTACTAATAGGGGCCTAGGCCCCTACTAGCCTCGCTATAGCCCTAGAGGCTATATATAAGTAATAATATAAAAAAATTTAGAGATATAAAAAGAAAAAGAGTAATAAGGAATATATATAAGGTAATTTTTTTTGGTATATAACTAGCTATAAATATATATAGGGTAACTCCTTAATTCTTTTTTATATATACTTTTATATAGCTAATATAGAATATATATAAGGTAATTATTATTTTTCTTTTTTATATATATTACTATATAACTCTACGCTTATATATTTATCCGTTTAAGTATATATCTATAATTAATATAACGAAGTATAATATAGCCATAGACCCGGGTATATATATAGACGAAAAAAATCTAAAAATGCGTTTTAACTCTAACTTACCTATAGGCCGCCGTAAGGAGGCCAAGGCGCACTTATGGCCTTGGCTATAACCCCGCAGCTAGCCAGTTAGTCTCCCACGGCCAATTAATCCCAACTGCCCTAACATTGCGACTTAAACGACTGACGACACCCGCCTCCTTACGGCTCTCTAGCAGGCCGGCCACCCAGCAGGCCACCTAGCAGGCCACCTAGCAGGCCACCTAGCAGGCCACCTAGCAGGCTACCCAGCAGGCCACCCTGTCGGCAAGCCTGAGCACCGTTGGAAAACCTATCCTTCCTGCATGCGCCCGTGCCCTCTCTGCTATAAAGGGCATTCTCAAGGCGTGGGCCAGCCGCTCTCGCGCGACACCGTCCAAGGCCGTGCAAGCGAAGCTGCTAGACGCTGCTGCAGACAAGAGCCAACAAGTTTCGACGATTGTTAACTCCTCGGGTACAGAGCTTCCGCGAGGCCACCGAGAGTAGTCTCCAGTCAACGGGGGCCTCACCCGAGACGCGGCGACGGCCAAGAGGCAACTGGACGCGACACCCGAGAGCGATCCGTTGCCGGCCAAGAGGGCCCGGTGGACGCCAACCGACGCACAAGAGCCTGTTTTCAAGCAGACGGACAAAGTATGCAGACGTTGCCTGGCGCAAGCCAACGGCTAACGGATCAGACGACTCTGCAACAGCTAGAGCCTAGGCGGCCATACGCCTCATTCCTTAACGACTTGGTCGACCTAGTCCACCAGCACCCCCGTCCACAGTCTCTTTACACCTTTGTATCCGACTGGCTCGAGTTCGTTGGATCGGACAGAAGAAAACGCTGCCGTTCAGACAGCCATTGTTGCCGTTCAGACGACGACCCTGTTTCGAGGCAGCTCACGAGATCGGCGCCCTAGATGGCTTACACACGAGATGCCCATGGTTTTGCGGTGCCGCCGACGCCGTCTTTTATTGGATCTCGCTCGTCCCGAACCGATCCGGACGAAGACCGTAGCCGATCCTCGGCTTCTAGCACAGCCAACGTTCGCAATCCACGGTACCGCTAGAACAACCTACGATTTAATCATATTCATGTTCGACACGCTACTTCTCCGCTACCGGTCATCGTATCCGAACACATCGATTCACTTGGCGCTCAGCGGGACTCCCCTGGGCTCTCGTCTGATGAGTTGAACCAGGCAATACACCGGGTACATGTTCTCGCAGAGGGATGTGATGAGGACCAGGTCACCAAGTTCCTTGATGATACAATATTCCCCGATCCCGAAGTCGACACCACATATGGGACTGCGGGATTGGTGAGTAATTCCAGCACGCTCATGGCGCAGCATCTCGTTCCTGCTGATCCCACAAGTCCCTACCGAGTTACGCAACCCAAGCCAGACAAGCTCTATGGATACTCGGAGAGGACCATGGGAGGGGCTTTTACCCAACCGCGGCTCCTGGCCCAGACCGTACTCGATTCACGAAACCCGGACTATCCGACTGCCACGTCGCGAGGCCTCCGGTTTCCCTTCTTCGCCATAGAGTTTAAGGCCGCCGGAGGTACGCGAGGTGAACTCTGGGTCGCCACAAATCAATGTGCGGGTGCTTCATCAGCATGCCTCAACGCTGTCAGCCAACTCAACACGGCACTTCAAACGTGTCAAGTCAGTTAAACCTCCGTATGCCACCTATGGTTATGTCGTTTCATTAATTGACAGGAGCATTAGAGCACACAATGCGTCGACGACTTATCCTACTGCATTTCTGTAGACAACAAATTGGCCGAATTGTACATCTCATGGAAAGAAGACAATCTGAGCTATTACCTTCAGCAGGTTGACACCTTCGTCCTCTCACGCCCCGAAGAGTTCAAGACCTTTCGCAGTCATGTGCGAAACATTCTTGATTGGGGAAAGGACGCGCGCCTGAAGCAGATTAGGAACGCCTTGGATATCGTCCTTGAGGAAAACAGGAAGAGAGCTTCCGAGGCCTCCAAGTCCCGCCCACCACCGTCTGATGGCTCTTCGACTAGCTGTGGAAAGAGGCGCCAATCCTCATGGCGCGGAAACAGCGGCAGATCCGACAGCGCGCCAGGACAAAGCAACGGAGCAGGGGAGCCGCAATGGGAATGGGATGGGACAATCAGGCGTTACTTTCATAGGAATGCCGATGGAACTCTTACTTGGGCTGAGGCGGAAGGACAGTTGTCATCAGCAAAGGAGTGACGGTAAAGGCCATATGGGGGTTTGAGGTTCCGAGAGACACTGCTCTGTAGTCGACCGGAGTCTCTGGTGACATGCTTGATGAGCGGCTGAGCTTCTGACACCCTTGGCTTGTGGTGTGCTGTGCCCGATTTCCCGGAATCGGGCTTTGAAACTCTTGCTTTACCAAGGACCGTAGCAGACTTCGGCCGTCTCTTCTGGCGGCTTACCCCTCGAATAGCTTGTACGTTACCTCCATCGCCGTGAGCTTCCTCGGCGGTGGACTGCTGGTGCATAGCAACCATCACGAGGCCTTGCTGCTCAATCCACTGCAGCAAGTTATTGTGCAGCTCCACCTTGGACTCGGAAGTTTTTAGCATCTCCTCATCAGGGTCTGCATTGTCGGGACCGCTAGCCTTCCTCAGGATCTAACTTCTTGCTTCAGCTCGTGTCTCTCTTCTCCAACCCCTCGTGAGCACGAAGATGGTAGTCTGGGAACTCAAGCCGGTTTTCCTGCTGGCATTGCTGTGCCGGGTCGGGCCGGAGGCGCACATGGCCTTGCAAGCGACGAGGACTCGAGCCGCGAGCTTTTTTGGGGCGCGGATGGTGAATAGGTCACCGGTTATCATACCCGGTGGCGTGGCGAGGCGTAGATGCCTCGAATGCTATCCTCACCAATCCCACACCTCGGCTCCTACAGCGCCTGCTCTCAATGCGGCCCGTTGCCAAAGAGGCACGTACAGGGGCCACAATGGGACGGGGGGGGGAAGGATTCTGCTCTGCAGACCATGAGGCAGTCCAAGCGCCATTCCGTATCCCAGCCTCAGATCAAGACACCGGTCACGGGTGTGGCCAAGAGATCACGGGGATGCCATGTCCCTACCGCTTTGATTTTGCGTCTTCTTCCTGTTACGGTAAGGCGCTGGTCTTTCTTTTCAAAGCACGTCTCACCAGACACGAGCCACGCATCGTCACGACTCCTTTGCCGGTGCTCACCCCGACTCCCCCTCCGGCTCGCCGGCCGAGCCGCAGCAGTTGCATCCCATCATCTCCCTGTAGCCAGCTCTGTCCACCCCCTCGAGCCTGCGCACCACCGTCTTGGCCACGAGCAGCTTCGCGTCCCGCCCCGTCTTGCCCGCCGCGTGCTCGACGACCTGCTCGTGCACCATGAGCGCACAAACCACGTCGTCGTCCATCATCGCCGCCGCCCCCTGGTCCACCGTGCACGGCACCGCCGACACGTACAGCCGCCAGCTGTGGCACCCGAGCTGTTCCTGGAGCAGGTGCGTCAGCGCCGTGACGGGATGCTTGCTCGTGTACGTATCGTACAGCGCCATGTCCTCAAAGTACGGCTCGATAAGGGTTGCAAAGAAGCGCCGCACGACGCCGTAGTCGTACCCGGAATCCACAAACATGGCGCCGACCAACGCCTCGAGCATATCAGACAGCGCCTTTGGCGGGTGCGACGTCGTAAGCCAAAAGTCCCGACGTGCCTCGGCCCCGCTGGCCTGGGCTTCAAGCACGGCAGCCTCCTTTGCCCGTTCCAGCTCCTCGACGAATTCGCTAAGCTGGCCGACTAAAGACGACGTCGTCATCAAAAGGTGCCTCTGGAGACCGATCTGCACGCATAGGCAGCCAAAAAAGTGATTCGACGTCATGGCCATTTTGTGTTCTGTCATCCACTGGGGATCCGCGTCGGGGAAGCGCTGGAAGAGGTAGTCGACAATGACAAGGTCCAGCAGAGCATCGCCCAAGAACTCGAGCCGCTGGTAGCTAGGAATTGCCTCGTACGGGTACGACGGGTGCTTGAACGCGCTCCGAAGCAGGTTGGGCCACTGGAAGCGGTAGCCTGTTGCTTTTTCGATGGCGACGACGGCCGCTCGTGGTGCCGCAGATGCAGGCGCCGACTGCCAGGCCGGCATCTTAAAGGCATCGTAGTAGTCGCCGAATCTGAGCATTCTGTGGTTCTTACTCTTCACCATCTTGGTCACGGCCTTGACGGCCAGGTCCATGTCGCCTTCCTCGGCGCCACTCATGTAGGCCGCCCCAATCAACGCCTCGCAAACGTCTGCAACCGACTTGTCCGAGAGGCTATGCCAGACCTCCGTCTTGGGCATCTTGCCCTTTTTGAGACGAAGGTTGGGATACCAGGTGCGTCGATCGAACGACTTGGACCGCACGTACTCTTGGATTTTGCGGTCGACTGCATGGTTGAAGAGGTTCTTGTTGCAGATAAGAATCATGCGCTCAACGTGGCACTCAAACTCATCCGAGTTAGGATTCAAGGTAAAGAGGGAGATGGTTGTGGCCATCTTGAGAAAGGCGTCTCCGAGGAATTCCAGTCGCTCATAGTTGGACCCCATGCCGACTTGAAAGTCGACTTGTTCTTGACCGTGCGCCTCGCTATTTGAGCTGTCCTTTGTGAGCGCCTCCAGCGCCATGTCTGGCCGGATATCTAGGTCGAGCAGGCTACATGCCTCGAGCGCAATCAGCTCTGAGTCGAGGCGGTACATCATGACCGGAACTATCAAGGCCATAGACACTACGTTGATGGGCAGCTATCTTTGTCAGCTGCGGCTTCTTGGCGCCAGTCGATGATGACAATTCACCAACCTTGGAGATTCGTAGGGGCTCGAGAATGAGCCAACAGCGCATATCTTGCGTCTGGTCAACATTGTACTCGTCGAGGAAATTTCGTCGCAACGGCAAGAGCTCAGCATTGACAACAGGCTGGTCATCTGACCACTGCTGTCTCTTTCTGGACTTGATTGTAAGACTGTTGCTGTACTCGGCAATGGTCTGGTCGCTCAGCCGGTATGACCTGCTCTTCGGCAGAGGAGCGCCTGGGGGAACAGGGTCATGCGGCTTGATATTCTTGTTAATGCCGTGGATGATGAACTTCCGAGACCCATCCCAAGGGTCCATAACCAGCTTGTTGTCAAAGAAGTTCTCTGGCGCACCGCGCCAGCTTGGTGGCTCCGACTGCGCCAACACCTTGAGAAGTTCCCAGTCAACACGGGCAGCGCCGTTAGCCAATATGCTTTCGCCTGCGTCAAGAGCAACAGCCGGCGCCAGAAAGTACGGAATATCCTCTGGTTCCGCATCGTACTCTTTGCTGAATATGTCTGCGAATACAGTCAAGGTGAAGTCTGTCAGGGCGTCCACTTGACCAGGAGATACCTTTAGGGACAACTGCGACGGCAGCAGCCGCATGGCCGAAGTGTTCCCCTTGTCAAAGTAGAGCATTGTGGGCTTGAAGGCCGGCAGTGGGCGTCGGGTCAGAAGAACCATGGGACTTATGGGCCTCCCGACCGCGACCGGGCTGTCCAGAATAAGGACAGCCTCAAACAGCTCTGTCGGGGCCTGTGGACCGAGCTGAGACCACATGTCTGACTTGACACGCATCGGGTAGCTTTCTTTCTTGTTGGAGCTAAGCGCTAAGCGGGCATTCCGCATTGCGGGCAGCCGCTTGCTGAGAGTCGGCTGTAGATGGTTGTTGATGTACTTCTTCTTGATGAGCTCGACGCAAGCTTCAAACGCCGCCGAGCACCTGGCGAGCTGCTTGTTGCGCTGAGGGTGTCCGTTGATCGACTTGATCGGGCTTGAATCTGGCAGAATGACTGTTGCGAGGAACCTTTTGCGGGTGTAGGCAAACGTCACGACGTATTCTACCACTGCGTCGCTGGAGAGTGAGGACACAAACTTGGCGAGCACCTCAAGGCTCGAGACAAAGGTGAGGCGTGCTCCCGTCTCCTCTATCTCGTAGACTCTCTGAGCGACGCGCTCGTTGTCAGTCGCCAAGGACAAGTCAATATCATCCTGAATCTTTCTATCGGCCGGCAGGGCGGAGCAGAACCGCCGGAGGGCGTTGGCGTCTCTTGTCGCTTGCTTAAGCCGTCGTAAGTGATGCATGTTGCCCTGCTCTAGCATGCTTATGTATGTTGACTGCGCTTGACGGGCACGACCCTTGGACTGGATATACTGGATGGCGGAGTCGTAGAGGTCAAAGCGAATGATAAAGTCACACTCGGGGATATCAATCCCTTCCTCAGCGACCTGCGTGGCGAACAGACAGTTGATCTCGCCCCTTTTGAACCTTACTAGAGTCAGGACTTGGTCGCGGAAAGACATGTTTGCTATGCTCGATGAAAGGGCCTGGGAACCGACCTAGGAAGAAAGAATGAAGACGTTAGCGAAGAATCAAGGTGCCAGCGAAATATAAAAGTCTGCATAAGCAACTTACGAGATAGGACGGCCGTATTTCTGAAATACGCTGGTCAACATGTTGAAAAGCATCTGCAAGGAGGAGGGCCGTATATCGTTTCTGCACAAACACAATGCAGCGCTGCGCGTTCTGGTTCGAAAAGGCCTCGTCGAGGATTTGCCGGAGTGTCCTGAACTTGGAGGAGAAGCAGGCCAAACTGTCCCGAGTCGGCGTCTTGAGTGGATCGTAGTTTCGGATAAAGCTCTGGGCTTGGCGCATGGCAGCGAGCACGCGATCCGCTTCGCTGGATCCGTCGGGCGCGAACATGCCGCTGCTTACTGTCTCTGCCTTTGCCGTGCGCTTGATGACCTCTTCGTCGGTTATGAGGAGCTCCCAGTACCTGTCAGCACACCATGGGCCGAGGGTCGATGCTGCTTCCTGGGTGGCTTCAAAGTGGACGCGATACAGGGCGTCGTCAAAGAGTAGACTCTCGATTTGCTTCCAAAGGGGCGTCCGCGCGTCTTTGGGCCCGAGCAGCCTGTCGTAATATTCCTTGATCTCAATCTGGCGACGACGAGCTTGACTTTCGATAAGAACCTCGTCGGACACGGTGGCAATTTCGCTACAGAGGATCGTCTCCAGCTCAACTGCCGAGGCGCGCAGGTCGCGAGTCTGCGCATCGACGGGAGAAGCCGTCATTCCAAGAATGCGAGGACGGTTCACGGCCGGCTCACGGAGGTAGTGATCCTTGATGATTCTCGCGTATGGGTGGTTCTTCTTGGTATGGTGGGCCTCGTCAAAGATGAGCAGGTTGACCTGGTTGATGCGCAGAAAGCCGTTGTTGAGACAGTCGAGCAGGATCTGTGCAGTGCAGACAAAGACCATGTTGCTGGCTAGCTGCTCGTCCCAAAATTCCTTTGTTCTCATGACGCCCGCCATTTCGCCGTGGAACTTGGCGACGGGATGCTCCAAGTTGGCCTTGAGCACGCTGTACTGCTGGAAGCACAGGGCGACCTTTTCCACGAGGAAAAAGGCCACTTTGCGGGACTCGCCAACGGCGCGTCTCTCGAGCTCTTGATCCAGCGTGTGCCTGAGCAAAAGAGCGGCGATGAGCGTCTTGCCTGATCCTGTGGGCTGGTCAGATGGGAGCGCTAGAACGCATGAAGGCGAGGACTTGCCTGTATCGAGAACGATGATGATATTCTTTTCCTTGGCTCTCTCAAAGAGGTCGATCTGATACTCGCGAGGAGAGACAATGATCTTCCTGTCCTCGTTGCTCTGGATCAGGCGGGCTGTTGACAGGCGATCCACGGCTCGGGTTGAAGCGTCGGCGGCGACTCGGGTGTTGGAGCGCTGGCTCTCCTGTATCCACGTCTGAAAGGCAGCGTCACCGCGGCGTCTGGTGGCAGTCGGCAGGCGATCGACTTGGCTGTTGACGGGCAGGCGGTACTTGTCGATGCCATCATCGTCGCTCTCGCTATCATCAGCATCGCCGGGGTCGGCATCTTGGACTGTGTCTGGGCCAAGGATGTCCGGCCTGGCAACGGGCAAGGCTGAGAGAGATGACATCTGTGCCTGTGTCGCGGACTTGAAGCCTCCTTGGAGGGTGAGCTCGGCCGCTGTCATAGTCAGGTTGAGCTGCGAGTCGGACGACGTCGAGGGCAGCGAAGAAGCCTCCAACTGCTGTTGCCAGGACATGATGCCTTTGAGGGGCGCACTTGACGAATCTATCCAGGCGCGTGAGACGCCCTCAGAGTCGATCAAAGAGCATATCGTGCCACTTTAAAGAGGTTCAAGATGGTCTTGTTTCTCGGCAAAGACGGGGATGGCTGCGTGCACAAGGAGAACTGGTCAGTCGAGGACTGGTTGCGAGCCCCACAGAGTCGAGGAAGAGAGGGGAAATGAAGAAAAAGAGCGTAGAGAAGAGAAGGGTTCAAAGAAGGCATGGCGAACAGGAAACGGGCGGCCGCAGATTGCTGTGCTGGATCACAAAGGGTGTTGCCGTGCAAGGTGAACAGGTCAGCACGTGCCCTCGACTGGTTAAAAATCCACCTCACCTGACCCGATGCAGCAGTAATAACAACAAAGTGGCCCTGCTGCCCACCACCACAGCGACTTGCTACGAGCCTCGACGGACACATCAGCTCCAAGTGCTCCCGTCACTGGTCCGATGGAGGCTGGCTGTGATGCACACGACGACCAGGGCAGCAGCAACAAGCCTCAAGCCAACATTGCAGACTCGCTGCCTCCCGCATCAACAACCTCGAGCGTCAAATCACGTCACGAAAGACAACAATTGACGAGAGTGGTGGTCGTCTTGCCAGTGGTCAGGAACACAACCTGTTTCTCCGTCACCGCCCAACAGGGTGCGATATACCAGAAACTTCACACCGTCCCACGCCAACTCATGACGCCATTCGCTGCTTGAGTCACCTCCCCCATAACAAATACCACAGCTACCCAATCCCTGCTCAAACGTCAAGCCACACAATCTCATTCACGAGATCAAGGTCGGCGTACTTTCCCCGTACCCCCTTCATCCAAGCCGCCTCAATCTCTACGGCGGCCACGCGGAATCCCCTGTGCGCTTCCGTCCCAATCACCCTGTACGCGTAATATCTACGAAACTCCCTCTTGAGCCGCTCGTAGTCTTCCGTCAGCCGCTTGGTGTAGTCATCGCGCTTCTTGAGCTCCTCGGCCGCGTCCGTCTGCTTCGAAAACACCCGCTCCGCAGTAGCGTTTAGCATAAACTGCTGGAGCATCAGGCGGTACACGATGCCAAAGCACACCCGTCTCGCCTCCGTGTTTTCGTTGGCGAGGAGCGAAAAGTCGACGTCGACGTAGCAGTTCTCGGCATACATCTTCCCAACCACCTCTGCCGTCGGAAGGACAACCATGTAAAGCAGCTCCATCTCCCACAGGTCGAACTCTTCCAGGGCGCCCTCGACGTGGTCGACCATACGAACGCCGACGCACTTTGGGTTCCGGGGCCTTGACGAGCTCATGACGGCTCTTGGAAGAAGAGATTCACGGGCTGAATATTCGGAATAGCCATTTGGTGTCCAGTGTCGAATGTAGGCCGGCGAACGCAAGCTGAGGAAACTGGGAGGCTGCTTGGCGTTTGCAGCCGGGACGGGACGCATGGAGCCTCTTATATCTGGGTTTCTGCGTCGGCTGCCGGAAGAAACAGAGCCTCGGGCTCAGATTGAGCGCACTGCTTCACACCTGGTGGTCGAACAAGACAAACGCTCCGTTCCTGGCTCGGGTCGCGCAGTGAACAGAAGACGCAAACATATCTTGCGGGACGCAGAATAAAAGCTCTCCCCGTTCCAGAGCCCGAGAGATCCCTGACACAGATTATTATCTGCCAGTACCCGTAAGCCTACACCAGTGTCACCCAGATACCGAGGAAATACAAAACGCCTTGATCCTCAGCCCTGCCTGGGTTTGTTGCCCCCTTTGAATTTGCCTGTCCGAACGGGGACTTGCTTTTCTCCTTTTTCGCGACCAAAAGAGTCCATACCAAATCAACCCGTTTACGCCAGCCTCAAGGCAGCGACTCCCTCACAATGCGATAATGTTCCGAGTTCCGCAGTCTGTCGTGCCACCGAGGCTCCTCGCCGCCGTCTCGCAGGCCCAGTCCCAGTTCTGCTCCATCTCCCTGGTCAAGCACGAACTGTAGTTCTTCCTCCTGACGTCGTACGAGTGAAAGACGTGCTGGTTTTTGAGGTCGCGAATATCCCTGCGAAGTAGCCCCGTAGCCACCTGGCACTTGACAAACCAGTTGATGCGGTCCAGGCCGAGCATCTGGCGCCACATGGACGCGTACGACATGGCGTCGAGTTCCTCAATCATGTACTCGCGAAGCCGTATCCCGTGCAGCAGTCCCGCCATGTGATGCTCCGGGCCGAAGCGCCGGTCGTCGGTCGGCCGGAGGTCCAAACGCGTCGGCTCCTCGAGCAGGAATCGGGCGAGGGCTGATCTCGTGGGGATGGGGATCCAGAAGTCGTCTGCCAGGGGCCGATAGGCCAAGTAGCGGCCGAGGTCTGCCACGGAGCTGACGGGCATGCTCCCGATACCCCGTGGAATATCGTCCGACAGGCTCGGAGCCTCGTAGGACGCGCCGCCGGCGGGGACAATCATGGGTGGTGGGTAGGCGGGGAGGACGCCGATGCGCTTCTCGTGCGAGCCCGTTCAGTGTCTTTTGTCGTGCAGCGTAGGTGAAATGCAGTTGAACAGCCAGTGGAACATGTCGGCAGAGATCATTAACGCTTTTATCTCGGAGCCTGCGTTGTCCAGTGCCTGAATAACATGCGTTGAGAGCCTGAGCAGAGCAAGTCGCGGCAAGCTGCGTCAATCCGAGGGACCCAAACGCTTAACAGCAGGATATAACTCTGCGAGCACAAAGCATCCACGCAGGCTCAACGACCGTTTGACTCCCAGTAGACATTGCAATATTCCCTTTTCAATCGTTCAAGAGCTCGCTTTGCCGTCTTTCTTCTTGGGCTTTGCGCCGCCTTTTTGTTTCTGCTGCCTTTGTCGCTCCTTGCCCTTGCGAATCGTCTCAACAAGGCCGCCGACCTCTTCCATCTTTTTCCTTTCTTCCTCTGCGTTGGCCTGCCTTTCTTGCTCGACCTTGTTTGCGGCCCTCTTTTTGGCCTGCTGCTTCTCCACCCGCTCAATCAGCACGTCGCTCTCCTCCCAAAGCGTCTTGGCCACCTCGTCCTCCTTGACCTCTGCGCGCGCAAAGTCCACCTCCATGCACTCCTTGACCAGCCTGCCACCGGCGCCACGACCGAGCTCCGAGTCCATTGCCGCGTACAAAAGGGACTGCGCGGCGCGGTACGGCGACTTGAGCAGGAACCACGGCAGGGCGTAGGCGGCCAGGTAGAGGGCCAGGCCGGAGAGGGAGCCGCGGGTGAGCCAACGTCGAGATCCAGGAGTGCGACTGAAGCCCGGGTCGACGAAGATAACGCGGGCATTCATGGGCAGCTGGTCCGGCCGCTTGTAGGCGTCGAGGTGCTTCTGGAAGGCCTGGCCGAAGACGTTGAGGGCAAGTTTGCTCCGCGCGTACGCCACTCCAGGAGACCAGTTGGATTCGGCAATGGGTTGTCTGAGGGACGGCGATGCAATGTAGGAGGAGCAGGTTGCAAGGATGATGCGTACGTCGCGGTCAAAGGGCTGCGCCTTGATGGCGGGGCTCAGTATGCCCAGCAGGTGGAAGTTGGCGAGAAAGTTGACCATCCACGTCTCTTCTATGCCCTCGTCCGTCTCTTTCCTAGATCCGCCGGGCGGCGTCAGGGTGGCAGCGCAGAGGACCAGCATGTCGAGCCTACGGGGCGGCGCGTTGTCGATCCATTTGGTCGCGAAGCGGCGGATGCTGTGCAGGCTGGAGAGGTCGACCTGCTCTGCATAGATGAGGTTGTTGCCAGACTTGTCGCGGAGGTCTTGGATATACTCGACGAGAAAAGGGTCCGACGGGGCGGTGTGCGTGAGCAGGACGAGCTGGGCGCCGCGGGCCGCGAGTTCCTGGGCGGCCTGGGCTCCGATCCCCGAGGTGCCGCCCGTGATGAGCACCACCTTGCCGTGGAGGGGCCTCTCTGCGTCATTGGACCGCCCCGACGTCCAGCGCTTGAGGGTGACGAGGAAGGTAACGGTCAGGCAGGTGTAGAAGACGAGCCAGCGGTTGTCTCGAAGCCAGTCGGGCGGGCCATGCTCGACCATGTGGAAGATGAAGGGGATGGGCATGCTGGGCGAGTCGACGGACCGGGGCAGGGGAAAGACTCGAGGTTATGGACGCTTGTTTCGGCCATTGGGTGACGCTGAGGGCTGCCGTGGGATTGAGGCGTGTTGCTGAAGATTCGAGTCCACTGACTCTTCATCAACAGGGGAGGCAGGAAGCACGTGACTTGGTGATCCAATCGCGTCGCAACGTCATCACAACCTTCGACTCGGAAACTCTGCGCCTGCAACTGTTTCAATGCGAATAGACGACGACTACCATGACGGCCACAGAAGTCTGGCATCAACTCCGAGGCGCTCGCCGAGGCCATTCAGGACCGCAGGTTCCCGCATCTGCCCGCATCTGGACCTCAATCTGGAGATGGCAACGACAACAGCAATATTGAAGGGGAAAGCCGAGCACCGGCTTTTCATATTGCTCGGCTTTTTATATGGGATGGAATGGAGTTCCAGTGCCATCTATCCATGAGGGCTCCCTTCTGGCTGCTGACGCTGGATGACTTGCCATCTGCGCAGCTCGAGCCCAGCTCTTGTCCATCATCAATCTACGGGGATACAAGAGAAGCGATTGCAATACTTGAATCGAACACTGCACTTCATCCGAGCTGGAAAACTGATCTCGCTAGATATCAGAGCCCCCATCTCACTCCGGACCAATCTTCTCCGCCTCCTTGCGGTATTCGCCAATCTTACACTCATGCCTCGCCCATCGCACGCTGCAACTCCCTCAATGCCCGTTGGTCTCGGCCGGCTGCTCCTTTTTTGGACCATACCTCCCCGATGGGGTCCCCGTGCTCTGCCACACACACCCAGTCCCCGGTGCCGTACTCGGCCGGCGCCCGCCTGATGCCTCGGCCGCCCCCACCGATGATGAGGTTGCCCGGCCGGTACGTCTCGTCTTCCTTGAGCCGCCGGATGACGCTGCCGTGCACGCGCACGTTGGACGGGATGTCGCGCACCTCGCCGCGCGGCAGCGGCCACCGGATCGGCTTCCACGAGCCGTCGGCCTGGAGATCCATCCTTCGAAATGGGAGGAATTCCATCAAGTTCCACGCCGTCACCGCCATGGTGCCCAGCCCGCCGCCGTAGACGAGCGAGTCATGGATGCGCGACGTGTGCGCCCGGTGCATCAGGTCGTGAAAGTGCGACGTGTGGCCGCACCCGTCACCCCCGCCGAACTCCTTGTTGTCCGTCTCCGGGCTCGACTGGCCCGCAAGAGGACTGGCCTGCAGCCCGTTGTGCTCGTCGTTGACCCGTATGTCGGGCTTTTCAGCGGCACTTGGCGGCCGCCGGCTCGTCTTGGTCGCTTGAGTGGGGGCCCTGAATTGCTCCGCGGCGTCCCACATGCATCCCAGCTCTGATACCTTATCCATGTCAAAGGGCAGGCCGGCCTTGATGGCCTCGCGCACGATCCATGCCAGCGGCACGTGGCTTGCGCTCTTGCGGCCGTCGAGGGCCTCCCATCCGCCGCCGACGTCTCCGTGGCCGCCCGCGAACCAGATCTCGTCGACGTCCTGCTCCCCGTCGTCATCGTAGTCGTCTCGCCCCGCGTCCGAAGTCGGGCCACCGCCGGACGCGCAGGACATGGCGTCAACTTCTTCCGCGACAGACAACCGGCGGGACCTAGACCGGGGCCGGTAGGGCTTGCAGGGAGAAAGGGTGGACGGCGGTTGCTGTTGGGGCCTGGCCGTGTCGCCAGCGGAGAGGTGGTTGTCCTTGTCCCTGCCCGCGGTGGACGAGGCGCGCGGCCGGTGAGTAGAGTGGGGTCTGCCCAAGTCGAGGCTTCGTCGAAAGGGCTCCAGCAGCTGCTCCATGTGGCGGCGGTGGTGGTGGTGATGGCGATGGCGGGCCGAGGAAGCGCTCTGGTACATGAGATCCTGGCGGAACTTGGCGCGCCTCTCGTCGATGCTGACGGCATGGCGGATGACGCGGGCGCTGCTGCGGGCCGTGTAGGGGAACTTGCTGCGCTGCATCCAGGCCGTCTCGAAGCGAGGGACCGAGTTGACCGTGTCGAAGAGGCCGAGGAAGCGGATCCTGCCGACGGGGCGCGAGAAGGTCTCGCGGAAGCCCTTCATGTAGCTGTGCATTTTGCGAGCCTGGCGAGCGGCCTCCTGGGCCTTGTCATTGTCGCCGTCTCCGTCGTCGTCGGCGGCGGCGGCGGCCTCGGACATGGAGCTCTGGCGGCGGCTCTGCCACTGCGCAAAGGCCTTCCAGGCAAACTTGACCATCTCCTCGTTGCCGTGGGACAGCAGGCCGATGTGGTCGAGCATCTCGGCGAGGAAGCGGGCAATGTAGGCGCCGCGGCTGAAGCCAAACATGTATATTTCGTCGCCCGGGTTGTATAAGCGCATGAGGAAGCGGTAGCCGCCGACGACGTGCTGGTCGAAGGAGGAGCCGACGGCCGAGTCCTTGGCCTTTGTGTACCACGACTTGAGGCGGGCGCGGAAGCCCGTGTGGTCGAGGGAGCCCGAGACGACGTAGGTGCCGATGCCGGCTGATTTGATGCATCAAGTTGACTGGTTAGCAGGACTCTCGACACACGGGGAGAGCCTCTCACGCTGGTAGTAGTGGTACTGGTCGCCGGCGGTGCGGTCCAGCATGCGGAAGATCTTGAGGATGTTGCTGTCGCTCTCATCGCCGTGGAACTTGTTGCCCGTGCCGTCGAAGCAGAGGACCAGCTTGCGGGGGGAGCGGCCGCCGTCGCCGCCGCGGACATTTCTGCCGCCGCTCAGGATGGTGACGGGACTCATAGCGCCGTCGTCGGAGAGGTGCTCGGGCTCGTCGTGCCGGGCGTCCCTGGAGGCGGCGTGAGAAGTCGGCGCCCAGGACGGGTCGAGGAGGCCCGAGGCCATGTTAAGGGGACGCTGCCGCGCGCGCTGTTGCACAACCGGGGGCTGTTCCGGCGTCTCGGCATCAACACTGCCCTCCGTTTGGCCGCCCTTGTCCGGATGGAACCCTCCTCCCCGAGGCGCCCGTGGATGCAGCCCCAAGGTGACGGCAGCAGGGGATTCCGCAAAGGGCAGCCTCTCACAAGGGAGCAGGATGGCGTGTGAGTGAGTGGTCGTATGCCGTGGCGTCTCCCTGTTGTCAACTTGTCACACTTCCCCCTCTTATCCGACAAATCAGCCACGCACGGGGCGGGCTCTCGTTATGTATTACTATTCCGTAGCATATACGACTTGGCATGCACAAAGCTATCCATTGGGAGAGGGGGAAGGGTGATTAGTTGCAGCCGAAAAGAACGATTGCGGCCTGCATGCACGCGAGATGGACGGCCGCGATAACTGCGTGTCTCACTGAATGGGGCAAGCAAGTATCGGACCCCGGCCAGCTCAGCCGCTCCGGATCCCTGCCCGCGTCTGGCCCAAAAGGAATCATTCTTGGGACGGCATGGGACTATCATGCCGTAGGATGGAGCCTGCTCATCTAGGGCCGGCCGGGCCGTCCATCCCCCTCCGTCCGGAGTAATTCGTGTTACTGCCTTGAGCAAGTTCAGTGGCCTCAAGACATTGCGGCTCCCACGAGAGTCGAATCCCCAATGCGTCCATGTGGCGGCAGTGGTCGGCATCGAATCCCAGACGCTGCTGGAGAATGCCATTGGTTCGTAGGCGATGCCGCATGTCGGCTGCAGCGAAGCACATCACCATGCAGACAGCCAACATGGGCACGGATGTGGATCTTGATATGCGTGTGTATGTACTGTACTGTAGCAAATTACGGAGACTGCCCCCGAGATGCAGCATGTGCGTGCAGGACCGGACTCGGGACGGCACGTCCTTGGCTGATGGCTGATAGCAGACCGTCTTGGACTGTAGAGAAGCGCCTAGGTTCCCCCCCCGAGTTCTTACTTTGGTTCTCAAGAGTTGAAAGAAAAGGGAGGACGTGGAATCCGTGGCCCAAGTCGACACGAAACGTTGGAGAGCGTTAGACATGGACAAGGAGTTGCGTGATAGTCGGGAGTGTCTCCTCTCACGCTCAACGGGATCACAAAGAGCCGTCAAGACGATGAAAAAGGCAACACAAACCGGGCCCCTTACAGCTTGCTGTCCTTCCACACCGGCTTCCTCCTCTCCACAAAGCTCGCAATCCCCTCGCGCATGTTCTCCCCGCCCTCCATCCGGGCATACACGCCCTCGCCAACCCGCCTCGTGCTGGCCCGCGGGTCCTCGGCCTCCCACGCGCCCAGCAGGCCCTCGCGAGTCACCATGACCGCGTCGGGCGAGTTGGCCGCAACCCGCTCCGCCCACCGCAGAGCCTCCTCGACGACCGCCGCCGCCGCCGCCTGGGCCTCTCCGCCCCCGTCGCCGACGACCTTGTTGACGATACCCCACTCCCGCATCTGCGCCGCCGTGTGCCGCGTGCTCCCCAGGAGCGCCATCTCCGACGCCCGCTGCCTGCCCACGATGCGCGCCAGCCGCGGCAGCCCGCCCGCCACGGCCACGACGCCCACGCCCACCTCGGGCAGCCCGAAGCGCGCCCCGGCCGCCGCCACCACCAGGTCCGCGTTGAGCACCATTTCCACCGCGCCGCCCAGGCAGAGCCCGTTGACGGCCGCCACCACGGGCTTCCTGCCCCGGCGGTTGCTCAGCCCGCCGAAGCCGTGCCCCAGCAGGCCGTCCTCGGCCGCCGACGAGGAAGCGGACGAGTTGCGCGCGTTCCACTCCTTGAGGTCGGCGCCGGCGGAAAAGGCCCGCCCACCCGCGCTTCCCGTCACGACGGCGCACCGCAGCGACGGCTCCGCGTCGAACCATGCCCACAGCCGGTCCAGCTGCGCGTGCATGGAGTGCGTCAGGGCGTTGAGCTGCCGCGGGCGGTCGAGCGTCACGAGCAGGACGTGGGGCCGCGGGAAGGCCACGACGGCGCCGGACACGGGCGGCGGGGGCTGAGAAAGGGCTGGCTGCGATGAGGATGTGGATGAGGATGATGACGGCATGGCGGAGGGGTAGAAGAAGCGCATGGGCAGACGGCGGCGATGTTGCGCGGACCGCGGACTGGCCTGCGATCTCCCTAGCTGATGACGATTAAGGCTGCTTCTGTGCGCCCGGTAACGACGCGGTAGGGCGGGGGAAGAAAAAGGTGTTGCGTCGTTGATGAAGGAGAGAAGCGTGCCCCGGTCCAAGGCCGCCGCCGGCCCGAGTCCGGGATGCGGAGAACCAGTCCCACGAGCGGCTTCGGCATACAGTTGTGGAGAAGCCTCGGCACCGCGGAATTCGGCAATGCCCAGGACAGGCGCCAATTCGGTGACACACGTACTGCATGCACACACGAGACACGTCTTGGCGTCATTTGATTCTCGTCAATTCCTATCCGTGTCAATTCTTGCCTCCCTTTGAATGAATCCGCCCGTACGCCGACGGGCACCTCAAACTCCTACATGGTATCCCCAACACCCGCTGTCGTCGTGGCGGTCCTCAAAATTTACATATCAGTACATGGCGGCCATGAGCCACTCACCCGCGGCACATCCGCCAAATTCCCCTTTTTGCACCTTGACCGTCTGTCATGGCCCTTCCTACGGGTATCGTGCGTGCCGTGCCGTTGCTCTCGTGCCTCGACGAGCGTTGCCAAAGTCGCCTCTCGTCTTTTGCTGTTCCAGTGGTATGCCAAACGTAAACAGCTGCTCCAGGCCAGGCCCAGTCAACTAGGCCGGCAGGTTACGCTTCTCGCACTCGGTGAAGAAGATGACCATGCGCCAGAGCTTCTTGACCAGGTCCTCTGCCTCGTCGTCCAGTGCCTGCGAGTAAAGTCAGCAAGAGGGCTCTTCGTGAGAAACGAAACACAAAGAAAGGACTCACCCCCTCTAGTTCGTCGACCAAGCCACCAGCCGTCCCGTGCTTGCGGAGGTGCTCCTCGACCGTCTCCACCAGCATCTCCTCTTGCACGCCCAGGTACTCGACAATCTTCTTCTCCACAAACGGGCGTAGCCGCTCTCGCACAATGGCCTCGTCCATGTAGTCCCACTTGACGTCCCAGCCCCAGAGGCCGTCTTTGTCGGACGGAATCTCCTGCGCGAGGGCCCGGATCGCCTGCGAAATCTCCTCCTCGGACATGGCCCCCGGGCCGGACACGGGGTCCATCTGGATCGGCACTAGCTGTCGGCGAACCATGGGCTCCGCGTCTTCGTTGTCGAGCAGGCCCTCGACCTCGGCAATGGTGCGTCGCTGCGGCATGGCCCGCGATGCCTGGGCTCGCTGCGCGGCAGCTCCGAGCGACAGCTTGAAGGGCTGAGGCGCAGGAGCAGCGACTGCCGGGCGTCGGTCCGTCTCCTGGTCCTGGCGGTCCAGGAACGAGTCTGCCTGGCCTCGAGCTCGCTCCATTTGCGCCTGCTCCCGTCGTCGCTCGCCTTCCTCCTCGCGCCGATCCGCGTCGTCTCTCATCTCCTCGTCCTGCCGCTCCATGGCTCGCTTCCTCGCCCAGGCCGCGTGGTCCCTGTAGTAGGCATGCGTCTTTCGATTGGCCTCGAGGTCGTCGTCCCAAGCCATGTCGCGGGCGCGCTGCTCGTCCTTTCGCCTCTGCTTCTGCTCAGTCTCCTGCCGCTCGCGGTCCTGCTCGCGGTCCAGGGCAAGCTGCCTCGAGCGTTCTCGGTTGAGCCATTTGCGCTCCATTTCGATGAAGAGCCTATGTTCTTCGTCCTCCTTGATCTTCAGCTCTCTGCGATACAGCTCACCGTCGCTCGCGTCGGTGTCGTCGTCGTCATCAACGGCCTCATGGTGCGGGTCACGAGCGCCGCCGTTGACAAACGTCACACGATCAGTCCCGTTATGGCCTCTGGGCCACGACGGAGCGGATTGCATGGTGGAGGACCGTGGCCCCAAGGGAATGTAATTCGACCCGCCGAGCGAGGGCGCAGATGCTCCGTTTTGCTGGCGGAAACGCGCCCCGATCTCTTCCTCTCTCCTCAGCCGCTCCATGTCCCGCTGGTTGCTGCGGTCGCGAAAGGCTGCAATCTCCTTTGCCACAACCTCGCGCATTTCAGCGGGAATATCGGCCAGCTCGTCTTCCTGCGCAATTGAAATGTTGACCACTTCCACATTGCCCTGGACGTCGTTGTTGGTGGCGGCTGCGTCGGCGTCGGCATTAACACGAGTGCCGGCTGGGGGGTAGAAGAGCTCGAGCTGGAGCTGCTTGAGCGCCACGCGGGCCGATTCAAACCTGCTCTGAAACTCGGCATCCTCTCCCCTGTTCTCGTCTAACGAGGCCTGGTACTCGACAGTCGTTTCGTCAAAGGCCACACCCAGCTTCACCTTTTCAATCCCCTTAAACGTATCGTCCGGGGTTGGATTGGAGGTGGGTTGCTGTCGTTTGACGGGGACCTCGATGCCCTGTTCCCCGAGGAGCTTGAGGGCGATGGAAACCGACTCGTGGTCGTCAAAGAGGGCGAATCCGAGTTTCGACTTGTGCTCGCTCCAGAGACTGGCAGCGGGCTCCCACTTGCGAAGCCGCCCCACGGCGTTGCAGATTTTCTGCACCCCCTCATCGCCACCCAGACCGTCGGGCATCTGGTGAATGATGATTGTCCGAAGCTTCTCGTCGCTCGTGGGTGGTGTGAGTATCTGCGGCACGTCCCTGGCACGATCCCTGCCCTGATCACCACCCCTCTCCATACCCATGCCGGGTCGCCCACCCGATGGTGCCGACGGCCCGTCGCCTCGCCCGCCCGAGCCGGACGCTCCGGTGCCGAGTCGAATGACGGGGGCATTGAAGTTGATGTTGGGCATGTTGGCGGGGGGCTGGAAGCCCGAGGGGAGACCAGCGGCACGGCTCGCCGGCTGGGTGCTGGGCTGCGCAACACCGGGAGGAGGAGCCATTCCTGGAGCGGATGGCATGCCAGGAGGGGGCCCTGAGAGCTCCGAGTCAGCACTTTCTAACTCTGTCTCGTCTTCAGTCGTGTTGGATCCAGGCTCAGTACCTAGGCCGGGAGGGGGAGCGCCCATGCCAGGTGGGAGGCTGCCGTAGCCGCCGAAGCCGGGCGGCGCGCCGTAGGGGTTTCCTGCTGGAAAACGAGGGCTGGTTAGCAGCTGGACATTGCCGAGGCGGGCGGGAAGGTCAGCTTACCCCCATATTGATTGTAGGACATGTTGGCGAGTTGCTCGGCTCGGGCTGTCTCGAGTCGCAGCGAACAAACAGCTCGTCGCGTGCCGTGGCTGTTTGGCTCTCAAGAACCACCCCGAGGCAGCAGCAGCCTGCCTTTGAACGGGATGAGGACTTTCAGGCTTCGCAAAAGATAGCTAGGATGCAAGAGTGTAGCAGATAAGTGCAAGTAGGAAGAGGAGGCCGCGTGGAGCGAATGTAGGTGTTTTTTCTTTCTTTCGCAGCGAGAGCTGCAGCTGTTGTTTTTTTGACAGCTGCCGCCAGTCGAGCCTCGCCGCGGTGGGGCTCAGACGTATCGTCTTGTACTCCGTACCTTTTCTTCCCTTCCCCTCGGAGCCAAGGCTGAGAGCGGAGCCCACCGCATCAGCATTTCTCCGGATTACCGGGCAACATTTGACGCTTGTCGTGACGGTGGAAGATGAAGCTGCGGGGAAGCTCACACCAGACGCCCAATTGACGGCTGACCCATCTGCGTGATTGGTATCGGCAACATGCAAGTAACTGCCTCGGCCTGAACGTGACATTTTTCTAACTGCTTGCTCACAGGACTGCGGTGTCGAGACCCGGCATTTCGGTGCTGTCTCGCATCCTAGTCTCGTTGACGCGGCCAGCAGCCCTGCCGAGACGTCCCTCGATGCTGCTACGAGTCTCGGCCAATCCACGCCGTCACTCCTCGTCCGACGGCGACTCTCGTGGCCGGCTGAATCCTCTGATTGGCAACCTCCCTCCGCTGCAGCAAGAACATCCCACCGAGACGCCACCATGGCCTGTTGCTCCAGCCCGCTCCCCGGATCCCAGCAACGCAGACTTGCCTCCGCCCCCTCCCCCTCCGCCGCGCGCCGATGCAGCGCCTGCGTCCCCGAGCTGGACCTTGGACCCCGGGTCCTTCCCGTCGGGCCACGCTTACAATGCCGTCTCCAGCGGCAAGATGGCCAGGCTCGACCTTGACAACATCATCGGCGCCAAAGCCGGCGAGTTCGCCGCCGAAAATGCCCTCACCATCACCAACCCCATGAGCCAGCCAAAGGTGCACACAAAAGCCGTCAGCGGCCGCACAGTCTTTATTAAGTCCCGCATGTCACCCACCTCTGCGCCGAATCCAGTCGTTGCCCTCCGCGTCCTGGACAAGATGTGTCGAGACCAGAAGATTAAGCAAAAGTATCACTCGCAAAAGTTCCACGAACGCAAGGGGTTGAGGAAGAAGAGGCTAAAGAGCTCCCGGTGGCGGGCGAGGTTCAAGACGGGCTTCCAGGCTACCGTCAGTAGGGTCTTGGAGCTGAAAAGGCAGGGCTGGTAAGCGGTAGATGGCTGTGTGTTGTTTTCATCAACTGTACAGTATTCTCAAGACCCGTCATCGCGGAACACGCGTTTACTCCAGGGCAGATGCCATGACATGTCGTCCATCGTGGTGCTCAACCCCGCTGCAGCCAGGAGCGAACATGTGCCGTTGACAAGATGAAGTATTGAGAAGTCATTGGGACGACTTGTGTTCTCTTCTTGTCATTATTTTCATATCGGCATCTACTCGCATGAATCTTGACTCAAGTCTCGCGTCGGGCTAGGTATCGGACTGGCCTTGATCTTGGGCCTTGATCTAAACACGGCCTCCATGTCCTCTTCGCACACCGGATCCTCCGCCTTCAACCCCCCTTCCTCCTCCACTGTAGGAAAGGAGCTGCCCTCCTTGCGCGGCGGTGCCCTGGATTTCCGCTGGGAGCGACGCCGCTCCAGCTGTGCCTTGAGTTTTGCCTTTTCAAAGCCCGCCATGCTTCGCCGCGTGCGGCTCACAAGGTCCTCGGCCCCATCTTGATCCGCCGACGCTTTGCTGTCCACCACGGCCAAGCCCGGGCTGGCCGCGGCTTCGTCGCCGGCTGGAGATTCCAGCGGGGACTCTGGCTCGTCGCCCTCAAGGAACAGATTGTCCGTCCGCGCCATGGAGAGGCGGGTGCGCTGTGCAAGAGAGAGGGTGTGGCGGGGCTTGGCGCGCTTGTTGGGGGAAGGAGATGCGTTATCCATCGACTCGAGGATGTGGTCGGCGAGCTCTTGTGTGGGAGAGAGGGCACGCCGCGAGTCCATCAACGATTCCTGCTCAGAGCAACCCATCTCCCGCACTGGGGATGGCCGAGGCGAGGGGCTTGGCGAGGACGAGGCTTGCCAGAGGCTTTTGCGGCCGACGGGGTCCAAGACGTGCATGTCGTGATCAAAGAGCTGTGCGGCGCTCATGTATTTTTGGGACAACCCAGGGCCCTCGATCGACATAGTCTCGGCATCGTGCTGAGCACCCGGCAATCGCCCTGAGGCGTCCGGTTTGGTTGACACCGGGTCCTCGGAGGGCTTGACTGCTAGATTGCTCCCGACGTCGTCTTCCAGATCACTGATTTCCGAAACGGAGCCTTGGTCCCCGGCGTTGGACCGCTGGGCCCGGGGCCTGGGTAGCAAGCTGTTGGGAGCCACGCATGGGCTTCGAATTCGCGTCAGCTCGTCCTGCAACTTATTGACAAGGCCCGCATATTCCTGTGTCAGGGGCTGGTTTACACGGCCAATGCTTGGTAGCCCAAATTGCAGGTCCTGATGGTGGACAAAGTTGAGGTCAAGGCCACGAGCAGTGTTGGCCTCGGCGTGGGCTACTGGGCTCGACGGCTGTTGTGCGGGCTTGTGGCGAAAGGCCTCGACGCGAAACGCTTCCCACTTCTGGAGTCTCTCCCTTTGCATCCTGACGCGGGTGTCGAGCTGTTCCAAGAGGTCTCCTCCGCTTTCTTCCAGCTCCGCGAGTCTGCCTTGCTGGACTCGGCGCCACACTCTGTCAAAAGGCTCGGCGAGAAGCCCACGACTGGTGGTGTTCTCAGTGCCGGCGAGGAGGACATTTATCCAACTCTCGTTGCCAGACCAATTGTTTCGAACCGTGCGGCGCATCTCGGCCCTGACGTTTTCCGATACAGTGCCGCCACCGCCTTGCTGTTCTCGATGGCGGACCACGTCATTGCGCCGCGCCATGGCGCGCTCCTTGATGGTGAGCAGGTGAGCAAAATCCCGATACCGGGCCCTGGCCACCTCCTTCCTTTCGAGAATCCGTCGAAGAGAGAGCCTGTGTGCCAAGGCGAGGGCGACGAGCTCTGCGTTGTTTCCCTGATAGCCCCTCTCCTCCAAGACGAGCTCGGCAGCCAGGGCTGGGTGGCGGTCTACACGCTGGGCATCACGGGCGACGACTCTTTTCAAAACGGCTGTGGAAAAGTAGGCGAGGACTTCCTCGAGCCGTTCGCCCTTGCACTCGTCCAGCATGGTTTTGCGAATGACCAAGTCGCGCCCCAAGACGCCATTCTTCTTCGCGTTGTCGAGGGCGCGGAGGAGGGCTGCGCGGAGGTTGAGAGACTGCATCTGGTCGAGGGGAGGGAAAAAGGGCTTGAGCTTCTGCAAACAAGACACGTCAGCGGTGGAGCGTCAATGGAGGTGGTATAGGCAGCCCTCACATTTGCGGCCTCTTGGGGATCCCGGAGGGAAAAGAGGCGAAACAGGGCCCATTCGACACACTGAATGCGCCTCTTTTGGCCCGGGACACCGGCGCCCGACGTGGCAAACGTCATGGGAGAGATTCCGGGCCAGTCCGGCAGCAGGTCCAGATCGAGCAGCTGCAGGTTGGTCAGGAAGACGGACAAGGGCGGCGACGACGAGTCGGGAGCCGGGGTGCGATGAGGTTGGAGAGGCCGCGACGAGTTGGCGGCAGCCCGCGTCGATTGTAGCGCTGCCATTCCGGCGACGGCGGCATGGTCCCGCCCGCGCTGGCAGTTCGAGAGGTGACTGTGGTTAGGCGGCGCCGGGCAATGAGGCCGTGGCTTGCGCAGATGTCGGTGTCGTGGGTCGGGGCCAACTTTGAAGCTCTGCCAGACGCACAGTCTTATTCACAGTGTGTGCACTGTACACGCCGCCGTGAACAACCTGTCCGTGCTCGACGAACGACCCCATCCCTGATTGCTTAATATAATAATAATTACTCTGTACGTACAAAAAGGTCTTCTCGATTGGATTCAAAGCGGAGTTATCACCACAACCAACACGATAGTGACGAGAACTCGGCACGAGACTACCATCTCTCTAATCGAGGACGTCGTCGACAATTATGAGGTTGAGCTGGACAACTCATCCCAGAATACAAACGTGCCTGGCTACAGACAGAATTCAACGGTGCCAGGGTGTTAGACACCACCTTCGCTTCCTCCTATCGCCTCCATTCTACGTACCCCGTCCGTTGCGATTCTCTCCACTGCGGCTAAACCCTGGTCCATCCTCGTTTCTCTCGGTTCCCACCATTGTCATTGTCATGCCGGGCCGGCGCGGGGTAGCGACGGGCGACTGCCAAGCACATCGATGAAAGCCACCCAGTGACACCGCGATAGGAGGAGCGGATGCGCGCGGCCCGAGCAACGCGAGGAATGGGGTGAGCTGACCGACCGGAGGGAGACTGTGTGAGCGGAGCGAGTAACGAACAGGGTGAGTCCACGAGTAGAACGAGTAAACGCAGCGGGAACGAGTTAGTAGCCAGGCACTTGGGTGACGGCTCTTGCGAGCCTGCTTCCGCACTCGGGACCCTGCTCCTGCCCTGTTTGGTATGAGGGTCCCCGCGCCACCCCAGAATGCAATGGAGGAGTGATTACGCACGTGATAGACTAGTGCTAGGCTGGATGGAGTGAAACGGAAGAAAGCGGTAGATAGACGAATGTGACCGGGGGGAAATAGAAGTGGTGACTAACACCGCAGTAATAGAGGAGCGAAAGGTACGTAGTGGGGTAGACGTAGAGCATTATGCGGCCTCGAGGGGTCCCTACTTCCGGACGGACATATGCTAAGAAGCATAAAAAGGGCGAGGGCCCGACTGTTCTTCGTAGAAACCCCGAAGTTTCTACCCTTACCTTGAACCGAGTGGTTCAGCCTGCTTGTGAGCAGCACATGCACTTGTGTGCTATCTGTTGTCCAGTAGAGGCATATTACTGGCTCGATGGTGAGGGCACACACTACTCTTGCTTATGAAAGCTGATGAGGACAGCGGAGTTAGTCAGCCGGTCAGTCAGGTGACGACGCGTTTGCTATCCCGGTTCGACGCGGGGCAGAACCTCGCGCTCCACTCGCGACAACACACAAGCAGTGTGCACGTTCCAACAAACCGTGGAGAACGCCTGTTCTCGGTCTTCATTGACTGATGGGAAAAGTCTCTCGGAGACGCCACCTTCACGAGCATGGATCGTCCCCTGGAGCAACCCGATTTTGCAGAGGCTGCTGACGGCCTGAGAAGGGCTGCAGTGCATCTCGACCGTTGCCGCAATCTACCAGCAGTAGATGGAGGGGAACGCCTGGCCCAGACTTTAGAGGCTATACTGCACCGCCTTGGTGCACTCGAGCAGACGGTGAGACGTCGATTTGATGAGTTTGACTTGAAGCTGGATGGTTTCCAGCGGCGCATGGTGGTGGCGTAAGCTCGTCCTGTTGTATTGCAATTCGCTGTTCCCGCTAACGAGAGTGCGAGATAGGGAGATGAATGGAATGGCTCGACTGCAGAACGCCACGGCAATACGCCCGGAGGCGGACTTGGTCCCTCTCCTCAGCGTGGATACGGGCCAGGAGATTCAAGAATACCCTCCAACTGTTGGTGCAGTCGCGAGGTTGTCCGGTGAGTGCGCTTCCGGACTGGTAGTGTCGGCGTATCCGTGTCTAACTCAACACACGTTTAGTGCGGGATGTGGATCGCTTATTGCGAGAGCTTGGTGTTCCTTTAGCAGGCACAGTGGTTGAAAAGCGGCGGAAGCTGCTTCTTGCCTTGGGCACTACAACACGGGCTGTGTGAACAGTTCATGAGCTTGATGTTACGTTTTCAGTGCATTTGGTAGCGTTGGCGTCACAAGCAAATTGACTATCTGAACAGGATGTAATCACCATTTTTTTTTTCCTTCTTCACACTTCTCTCCACTCGCAAATGCATGACAATCCGACGCGGCCCCTGGCTGCACATGAATGCGATGAAAGCGACATGACGTAAACACACGGCACAGTGGGCCAACCCCTTCACGGGCTACCGACTCTAAGAGCACCCCCGGAGGGCCCAGGCAGGACTACGAAATCCCCCACGTGGAGCCCCGAAGACGCAGTCGGAGGGCCGTGTGAGCGTTGCGCCGAGTGTTCCACCGCAGTGACCGTAGGGAGCGAGGACTACACAACGGCAGTGGATGGAGCGTAGTGACAGCCATGCACAAGTCCGTACACACCACCCACCTAGCTACAGACAACAGCCACAAGGAGAGTCCGCGAGTAGGCGAGCGGATGGGGGGGCGCCCGAGCAACGCGAGGATGTGAACGGAGTGAGCTGTAGGAGCAGAGCGACGTGACCGACCGGAGGGAGATGTGAGAGCGGAGCGAGAAGAACGACGAGAGGAGTGCAGACGACAAGAGGAGTGTAGACAGTGAGTGGAACGAGCACACCCGGGACCCTTATGCGGCGAGAGACCGACCGACGGAGAGAAGAATGAAGGACTGAGGGAGGGAGCGAGACTCTATGTTTGGTTATAAGGGTCCCCTGCGCCCCCGCGCCCCGACCACAACGCAGTGCAGGTACGGACGGACGAAGAGAGTGGACTAGTATGTAAGCAGCCCGGACAGAATGGGAGGGACTGCAGTGCTAGACCGAATCGACAAGAGGAGGAGAAGGTGGTGGTAACACCGGGAAGGACGGAGGACGGACGGTGGTTGGTGGGATGCAGAGAATCGTGCAGCAAGGGACCCACCCCTGGACGGACACGTACATGAAGGTGTGTGGCACCTGAACCACTAGGCCGAGAGGCATATAAAAGGGACGGGGTGCCCGCTCCTTTCTCTCTTTTGTCTTGGGACAAACCTTCTCCCTCTCCCATACTCCTGTCGGAAAGACACGGCCAGCGGCAATTTCAAGTGATCAGGTGACGCGAAGAGCTCTTTGCTTCCTGGAAGCTGTCGAGTGTTGAACAACTCCCGGACGGGTCTTTTGCTTGCAAAAAGAGACAGACAGGATGTCCTTTTCGGGGAAACGTGGCGGAAGGCAGAGGACGACCAGGTGGTAACGCCGCCAGACATGAAGACGCGAGTGCTGTCTTCGCCCGACACACATTCCACCACAGGAAGTGACACGCCTTTGGCCATTCTCAACAGGCCTTTGGGGCCGGAGTTCGTGCAGCGCAGAGCAGGTCCCGGCGGGAGCAAGCTGTCGTACCTGAGTAGCTCCGATGCCACGTATGTGGCCAACTTGGTGCTTGGCAATGACCGCTGGAGTACGGAAGTACTTCGCCAGGAGGAGAGTGAACCACGCCAGGAAGGCGGTAAGTGGGTGGTTGATGCAGTGTGCAGAGTCCGTGTGACCGTACATTGGGCGACGCGAGGAGCACCTACTTTCCATGAAAGCACTGGTTACGGTGGTGGCAGCAAGGGTGCGAAGACACGCGGTGACGCTGTGGAGATGGCCGTCAAGGAGGCGGAGACGGATGCGTACAAACGAGCCCTGTGCATGTTCGGTGAAGCAACCGGGAATTGCTTCTACGACAAGAATTATCTTGCATGGATTGAGAAGATGCGTACCCGAGAAGGGAAGCACGACCCCTCGAAGCAGTTTACGCATGAGCAGCTGTTGCGGAAATCAGCGCGTACATTGCCGAGAGGCAGTCAGCAGAGCCTTTCTTTCGAGTCTCAGAAGAACGGAGTCAAGGTTGCTGGGCCGTTGCGGGCGGTGCCCCCGGATGAGTTTTACGACGATGTCTTTGAAGACGATGTAGGGTTTGAGCTATAATCACTTGAGTTTCCTGTCCGCTGTCATATAATCCGACGGCATGCCGGCCGGGGAGTGTGAAACACGTACCTTCTCTTCTCGATGACCATAATGATTGCCACTTCGTTGCACGTGAAACGACCATTCTTTCAACAACGCCTGGCTACAGACTTGAGTGTCACAAGATAAGTGATGTAGATGCAAGATAGCAAGCCAACCCCGTTCACAAGGAACCGCCTCCTTATTCAACCCCGTAGGGCCCAGGCAGAACTACGAGCCCACCGCGCGTAGCCCCGAAGACGCAGTCGGAGGGCCGTGTAAGCGTTGCGCCGAGTGACCGAAGGGAGCGCGAGCGTTCTACCGCACCGACCAACGGGAGGGAGGACAACCCCCAGTAGGGAGCCTGGAGCGAAGCGACAGGTGACTGCCAAGCACACAGACTTGAGTGGTAGAGATAGTCCGCGAGTGGGCGAGCGGATTGGGCGCACGCGAACGGAGTGAGGAGGTGAACGGATGTGAATATGTCTGACCGGAGGGAGTTGTCTGAGCGGAGCGAGCAGAGCGATAAGAGGAGCGAGAACACGACTGGAAGGAGTACACGAACAATGTGAGTCCAGTCTGATGCACGCGAACAAGAGTGAGCACCCGGGACCCTTATATGCGGAGGAAGCGAGGGAGGGAGAGAATAATGAAAGACCGACTGAGTGACTGGAGCATCTATGTTTGGTTATACGGGTCCCCTGCGCCCCCGCGCCCCGACCTCGAGACTCAGAGGGAGGATGGAACGCACGTGACTGACCCAGGGTAAGCAGCAACCGAGAGACGAAGGAACAAGGGAAGACTGCAGCCGTAACCCGAATGGACGAGAGAGACAGAAGGTGGTGGGTATCACCAATCGGACGCGAGGAGGATGGTGGCCATACTACGGTGGCATATTAGCTAAGGTCCGTAAAGTGTGCTAAAACCTAAACCTACTAAATTACTATATTACTTTATTTATAAAAATTTCTTTAATTTAGATTATATACTTAGTCTCTACTCTTTATAATACGACTAGTAAAAGACCTTAAGTATATATAAGACGTAATTCTTTTTTCTTTTTATTAAGGATATTCTAACTAGATTATCCTCTAGCATATAAATAAGCGCCTTATCGCTTAAGAGCCTATAGACTCTTTAGCGCTAGCTTTCTACTTAGGGACTATCGCGGTAGGTTAATCTTAAGTCGTTATACGAGGATATTACCGAAATTTATACTACTAAGGCGCTAGACTAAGAGATTCTTTACTAAGTTAATTAAATACTTCCTATATAAAGGAGTTAAAGTATTAGCCTATAAACCCTTAAGATATCTCTTACGTTATAGGGCCTTACCCGGTAGTAGTATACTTAAGTATTAGACTAGCTTATTTAATATATATACTTTTACTTTTATACCTATAGATTTAATATCGCTTTTATCCTTTAAGATATCTAGTATTAAGATATACTTTAAGTATCTCCTTTTATAATTCGATATATTTACTAGGAGAATAGGATAAAAAGACGTTTCTATATAAGTAAAGAAAGAGAGGCTGCCTTTTAAGTTATAATTATATTCCTTAAAAAAGGCCTTTAAGAGTCTTTTATAATTTAAGGCTTTAAAAAAGGCTACCTTTATTACTATATATAATAAAAGGGAAATATCTTAGTCTTATTAAATCGCTTTTATAATTTCTATTAGTTAATTCTCCTTAAGGAAGTTTAATAATATTAAGAAAAGAACTTTAAGTATTATATAGACTTCTTAGTCCTAGGACTAAATTTCCTTTAGTACCTTAATAAGTATAAGAAACTAAAGAAATTTAGGTTTTAGATATACGCTTATATTAATATATACTTATAGTATATTATTTAGTTTTATATTAGCTAACCTATAACTATATCTTTAAGTACTCTTAAGTAGTATTTATATATAATATAGCGGCTTAAGATATAGCTATTCTTTACTCGCTTAGACTATCGCGTTAAGACGCCTTTCTAGGTAGTAGCCTAAGTAATACTTACTTAAGCTAACTTAGCTAAAATCTTATATAAGGATAAGGTAGGGAATTAGTACTAGTACTAATTATTACGGAGTAAGTAGAGGTATAGGCTTAGGTACGGTCCGTTAAAAGAAGGTTAATAATCTATAAGGGGGAAAAGAAAGAAAAGTATAGGCCTAGCCTATATAAGCGCGGAGGCCGCTTATATATAGACTTAGCCTAGACCCTAGTCTAGGCCTATATAGGGCAAAAACCCTTATATTATACCCCTACCTAGCTTTTAAAGAGGCGCGCCTCTAAGTAATACCTAATACTACGCCTAAGGGGACGGAACCCTCGCGCGGACTATATACGCCTAGTCGTAGAAAAAATATTAGTAAATAATATATAATACCCTTCTAAGCGAGTATTACGACTACGGTTAGCGGGCTATAGGAGAGCCGGCTACGTTTACGTAATAAGGTGGCTCGGAATAATAGTTAGGATAAGAAGTTACTTAGGCTTAGCTTACCTAGAGCGTCTATAAGCTAAGTAAGCCTTATATAGATAGATTACTACTTAGGAGCATAGCTTATAAGTAAGCTATAGTAAGCTATAAAGGGGATTACGGCCTAGACCGTAATCTAAGGATAGTCTCTATAGGTATATATAGCTACCTACTTTTACTCCTTTAGATAGATAGCTCTTTAGCTTTTAATATAAATCTTTATTACGATTCTATCTTTAATTTTAATTACTTAGTTATAGTCTATAGTTTATAACCTCTAACTTATTACTAATATAATATACTTATTATTACTTAGACTACGCCCTATTATATCTACTAATATAAACCCCTTAATAGGTTTATCCCTTAAGAATAATACTAGTCGTTATACGTTAAAAGCTCTTATTTAATATAATACCGCGTTACTTTAAGTAATATCGTAACTATTAATATACCTATATAGTAAGCTAGATTAACTAACTCTAGAGCTACTATATCGCCTTAGGATATAATACGCGAAATTATCGTCTTTTAATATAAAGTATAGTTACTTAAGAACGGAAGAGGTAATAGATAAGTTAGGGACCTTAGAGAAGTAGTTAAACTAAAATAGCTAGGACTATTTAATAGTACTTATAGTACGCTTTAAGACTTTCTTACTTAACTTAAGGCCTACTATTAGTTTTACCTTACTAAACTTTTAGACCTAGTCGAAAAGGTACTCTATATAGGAAATTATTTATCTAGAATAGTACTTGCTTAGTTTAAACCTATTATAAGGAACTTTCTCGATAACTAACTAGCGCGATAAGATAATAAAATAGATAAAGTCTTTACTAGTTTCTAAGAATTTAAAGAAGCTATTATAAAGGTATTTAAAATAACTAATAAGGAATAAGAAGCTAAATAGAAACTTTAAGAACTCTAGTAAAGGATCTTAATATTAAATTATACTATAAAGTTCTATTAAGTTACCTTAAAGCTTAATTAAGATAACGAACCTCTTATATTACGATTCTATAATAAGCTTAAAAAAGAAGTTAAGGACGAGCTTTATAAGGAAAATTAACCTAATAACCTCTTAGACTATATTACTATAGTAGCATAAATCGACGATAGATAGTATATACGACGCTAAGAAAAGAAATAAGGAAGAGGAAACTAAAACCCTTCTTATAGGAATAACTTTAACCGACGCGCTAACTATAAGAAGAAGCGCGAAACTCTTATTACCTATGCCTATATAACTAACCTAAGTAGGATAGATCTAGATATAATATAGAAAAGCAAAGGAAAGTATTTTAACTATAGGAAACTTAGATATTACTTTAAAGAATATAGATAACCTTATAAGGAGAAGAAAACCTACTAAGCACTAGCCTTAGAAGGTAAGAAATACTTAAACGCTACTAATAGATAAGAACTAAAGTATAAACTCCTTAGTTAGACTATATACTATAACGACGAATATATAGTATACCTAAGCGATAAGAACGGTATTAAATAGTTCTTAAAGCTATTAAAAAAGACTATTATAATAATATAACGAAGGGATCTTAAAATATAGAAATAAGTTAAATTCGTAGAACTAAAATACCCTTATCTTAAAGGAGTCTCCTAAGACTAGATTAAGAAAAACGGTAAACGATTCTAGGAAGATATATAAAGTAAAAATCGATAATAATAATAAGCAGTCTATAAATAATATAATAAAGAAGATATAGATATAGCCCTTATACTTACGAAACTTAGATAATAACTTAAAGAGGAATAATAAAGTATTAATAATATAAGCTTTAAAGAATAAGAAATACCTAAAGAAATAGAAGATAAGAACGAACTTATACTACTACCCTTACTACTAAGGGAAAATACTATAATTAGAAAATACGCTCTATACTTTAAAGAATTTAAAGAAATACTTAAAATTAGAACCTAATAAATACCTTAAATTCTTATAGAAAACTAATAAGCTATATTAATTTAATATTAACCGGTACTATATAAAGGAGACTATACTATAGCTATCGCTATAGTTAATACCTTTATAGCTCTATAATAAGAATAGTAATTATAAGAAGAATTTAAAGACGATCTATAAATACTACTTACTTATAAGTATTATAAGTATATTTTATAGATATTATACGTTTACTTAGATTATATAATATACTTTTAGATAAAGACGTAATATAACGCCTTCTTAGTTAGGTTTAAGGGATAAGTACTTTCGAAACCCTACTTAAGTATAGAACTAAACTACTAGAAAATCGATTAACGCTACCTAAACGACTAAGTTATATTATTAAAACCTAATTATAGCACGCTACTTAAATACCGCGATAATTATAGTTTATTAACGAGATATCTTTTAGAAATATATAAAATCTATAAATACGCTAAAATAAAGGAATAGTATAGTACTACTTACTCTAAGGTATCTAAACCCTTAATCTTTTAAAGACTTAAATAATAAGTTAAATATAATAAAGAAGATTATAATAAATATA